CAATTTCTCGATTTCTAAATTTTAGATTTTCCAATTTTAATTTTTTTTTATTTTTTCATGTTTGGACTATTTATTATTGCTAAAAATAACTACCAAAATTGTGACTAAAAATATGTAAAAATTAATGGAAAATAGAATACATTGCTGGTAAAACATAAAAATAACTGTACTTTTCCAAAAAAATCTATTGCATGATTACTGTTCCACTAGTATTGCTAATTTACGACGTTAGTATCAAACGCAATGAAAGTATTAATTCTTAGTTAAACAAAAAAATAGTTGAGTGTCAAAACACCAAACCATTGTTTAAGTATATTATAGTTGGACAACCTAATACAAATTTTACTTCGCCTAAATAGTGAGCTTTAGGACAAGGAATCCAGGGGGCGCGGGACAAATTTTTCGTCAACGCGCATTTTCACTACAGTGAGCGAACGTATTAGGTTTATTTTACTCTACCTCAGATGGCGCCATCAAACATTAGCAAAGGCAAACACCCTCCACTCTGCTCTTATACGAGGAGTTATCCATAAATCCATAATTAACATTGTTTCGTAAGGAGTAATGTGTATAGACATATATGTATAAAATATGAAAATATACTTGACATAAAAAATATGAAGCAACGCGTTGTAACGTGATACGAAAGAATTGTATTTAAATGAATTTGACGCCTATTTTTATTTGACTATATCTGAAGACTGACAGAAACTGTTATAATTGTGTACTTTTACAAGATTTAGTAAAATTTTGATTCATGGTGTTACAAAAATATTAACACAAAATGAATATAGGTATATATTCAAAGTAAATAATAGAATGACATAAACTTTCGGCGTTGACATTACAAATAATTACAAGACAGAAAAAAAACGCATGTTTGTAATATCGGGTTGTTAAAGGCTGCTTTGAAGGCAGTTTGTTTTTATGAAAAACAATTGATGAAATCCGACGTTTTGGTAGATTTTGTTCCAAAAATACGAGATAGCTAATTGTTTCTTGAACTAGTTTCCGTAACTTTTAAAATTTAAAAAGGATACGCCATTCTGCTGTAATAAAATCTAGAATAAGGTCAAAATCACACTAATATTACATCTGAATTTGTCAACCACATAATTTACATTAAAATAAGTTACAGACGTTGTTTGAAATGTTTACTATATTTCGAAAACAAGATAAATAAATAAATAAATAAAATGTGCAGTTTATAAACTTCAGAATTTTAGTATAAAAATAATCATGTTTGAAGCTTTATTTTGTCTGTTCCATTTCATTGGATGTACTCTGTACTGGGCCCTTCTCGGGATATAACACCGACGTCAGTGCACCGACCCAACGTTCTTCAACCGATGGCATGATTTATTTAACTCTTTGCGCACTGCACACTGACATAGACACAGAGTATTGTTCACGCCAGCATCAAAAATACTACGCCGAAAGCACTTCTTCAGTGTTAATTTTTTTAAGATGTAATATTTGTCAGCGTTTCCAAAATTTTCCTCTTTGCACAGGTTAACTAATTTTTCGTAAATCGCATTTTAAAATTTTTGTTATTGTATTTTTTACTTTTTAATTTTCTAAGGCATGAAAAAATCCCATATAGGTTTCTATGAATTTATTAATGAAATCAACTGATAACTTGCGCGCCATTTTGTGTTAATTAATATTAATAGTGATTATGATAATTTTAATCCATCTGAATGAAAATCCATCTCCCAAATATTTTACACCGATATAAATTTATTACTTTCTTGGCACGATTTGTACTCCGAAGTCTCCCTCCACATGCAATTTTTCGTTGCCTGAGAATTTGTTTGATCTACAGACCAAACCACACTCAGGCCAATATCGGCTTTAAGCGATTTATTTATAAGTCGACATTCGTTAGAGTTGATCTGATACACATCCACTACGAAGAACTAACCCGTTTCGACCACTGGACTTTACAACGAATAAGTGAACAAAATTCTTGAACATCTTAACGATTTAATACATAATGTTTCCGAATGACAAAATTTACATTTCAAATTGTATTATCAAATGGTAAAACACTCACCAAAATTTGTCACCAACAATGAAATGATGCAATCTCCAAATTTTACAATTACTATATCCTCCGTTTACGGTTTATGCATCCGTGTTGAGTTTTCACCTTGGACGTCAAGATTTTTGAAAAAAAAATGAACATTTTCCAATTTATAATGTTATTTAAATTTTAAAAAATAGCATAGTCCTGATCTTGTGATTTATAAATACGCTATTGAGACTTTTCGGCTTTTCGATTTCTCGATTTTTCAACTTTAAATGTCTCAATTTTTCAATATTTCAATTTTGGGCTTTTCCAATTCTTCCATGCTTCAAATTTTCCATCTCTCGATTTTTACTTTTTGGATTTTCAATTTATTGTTAAACTTTAGATTTTTCAATTCTTCGACTGTCTTATACTGCGATTTTTTTTCGATGTTTTAATATTTCATTTTTCAAAATTCTAGGTTTTTCGATATCTCGAATTTTCAATACGTACTTCTATATTTCAATTTTTCAAATTTTTTAATTTTCATTTTCGATTTTCCAGTTTTTCTTTTTTTAAAATTTTTCGATTATTCAATTTTTTAATTTCTCAATTTATCGAATTCAGATGTTTCGTTGTTTTGATTGTTCAGTTTCTCAATTTATCAATTTTTCAATTTTTAACTTTCCTTTTCGACTTACGACTCCTCAATTTCTCGATCCTTTGATTTTTCGATTTCTCGATGTCTCAGTTTTTGAATTTTTCGATGTTTCGATTTTTGGATTTCTCGGTTTCTCGATTTTTTCTTTTGAGCTCTCAATTTCTGGATTTTAATGTTCCGATTTTTCAATTTTTTAAATTGAATTGGATTTCTCGATTCTTAAATTTTGCGATATTTTAATTGTTCAGTGTTTTAAATCTTAGATTTTTCGATTTCTCGATTTTTTGACTTCTCAGTTGTTCAGTATTTAAATTTTTCAATGAAAAAATGTTGACGTTAAATTTTCAGTTTTCTGATTTCTCAATTAATCTATTTTTGATTTTCCCACTTCTCAAAGTTTCGATTTTTCAGTTCTTCAATTCTTCAATTTTTCGACTTAGCTTTATTGGTTTTTCGATTTCTCAATTTTTGGATATTTCTTTCAGTTTTGATATTTTTCAATGCTTCGATTCTTTGATTTTTCGATTTTTTATTTTTGGATTTTCAGTTTTTCGTTTTTTATACATTAAATTTTTCAATTTTTCGATTGTTTTATATTTCAATTTCGCAATTTTTCAACTTTTCCATATTTTAATTTTTTTTTTCTAGATTTTTCGGTTTCTCGATTTTTCAGTTCTTCAGTTCTTCAATTTTTCGATTTTTCAGGTTTTTGATTTTTCAATTTTTCGATTTTTTAAGTTTGCGATTTTTCGACTCTGCTTTTTTGGCTTTTCTGTTTCTCAATTTTTTAATTTCCTAATTTTTGGATATTTCGTTCAATTTTGTGATTTTTCAGTTTTTCGATTTCTCAATTTTAACTTTTCAATTTTTAAAGTATTAGTTTTTTTCGATTTTCCAATTTTTTTTTATTTTTCGATTTTCCAATTGTTCGATGTTTCGATTTTTGGATTAACCGACTGTTCAATTTCTTGTTCAATATACTTAAACAATGACCAAACTGACAATAAGACAATGCGGTTTGTACATTTTTAGCGGCATCGCCAGACGGCGTAATAAACAAAAACGCTATCGTAGAAATATATAAAATGTCCAATTTAAATAATGCTTAATTCAACGAGATGATAAATTTTGGGAAAATAATATGATAGAGCCCTAGAAAAAATTTATTTATACATATACCTTACTTCCGGAGAGATTCTCGTTATTAAACAATTCAACTCATTAGACAAATTGTAAAGAAAAAATTGTGCAATTAAAATTTTTTAGTTGCATTCGCGTCATGTGTAGTTCATATAAATCTTTTGCCCTTCTAGTATAAACACACACAGGAATAAATAGTAATATTGGAATAGGTTTACTGGAGATATCACGTAAAAAACGTGCCTATAATACTCTACCTCATAGGTGGTGCGGAAAAGCATATCAAAAAATTAAATTTAAATAAATATTATTGTTCAGGTAAATAAGTGGTTAGTGAAGTGATGAGAATCTAAATCTTGTCAGTTTTGTGTATTGATTAATATCTAAATTAACAGATTAATAAAAAATATTTGAATAATTTTTTCAAAGAAAATATTTTAGTAGAATATATAAAATTATAAAAATTTGCATACTTTAAATCAAATTATGTCAGCAATGAAAAAAGTCGACTTGTAAAAGAGTTTCAACAATGTTGGTCAGCTAAGAGCATTTATGAGTTTTATGACCTAAAATACCTGGACTGATTACCTGAAAGGGTCGGTCGGCAAGGCTCCCTGCTGTGTACAACTCAGCCATTTATTGAAACTGAAAACTTTGTAAATAGGGTTGCCTAGTTTCACTTTATTTTCATTAGTCAGTATTTTTTTAAAAAGCAAATATTTTGATAAATAAAACTTTTAAACAAAAATGACCGGGTCTTCCCCATAGAGCCCAATGTTGTCTTTGCACTGATACAAAAGTTAAAGCGAAAAATGCTCTCTCCTCGTCTAAAAATGCAATTTCCTTCCAAGAATGAACGATTAATTAAACACTAAACAATCACTTATTTTAAAAAATATTGTGTCTTCCCCAGAGATTTAGACATAACCTATCAATTGAAATGTCGATCTTTTTTTCAAAGTTGAAATTACGCCCGTAAAATGAAAATCTATTTAGCTCATTTTTCGGTCTGCTACTGGGCACCCTTAATTCAATAAATATGTACCCTAATAGGAACAGAGTTGGTTGACAATAAGAACTTAGAACGCTTTTTTACTTACGTTAAACTTTTATTTTTGAGTTATATACATATCACTTTTTATATGAAACGATATATGTTTGTAACAGTTCTAATATATCTGTTCTAAATTTAAGTTTCTTTTCTGAGGAAAAACCTTGTAAAACTTCCCCAATTGCCATCATAAAAAACTGATCACTCACTGGTGGTAATGAAATTTCAACATTGTTTACTTGTTTCTCTTCAGTACTAACGTTATTTTCAAAATGATTTATTTCTTCGAATTCGACTTTAGTAGTAGCAGTTGATGCCTCGCTAAAAAATAAACATAAGTAATCACAATCAATTTAAAAAAAAAATCTATATACTTACAGACATTTAGGAAGGTATGGAACCAACCACAACATTTTATCAAAAAGTGTGAGCTCGTGAGACTTCTTTTTTTGTAAAGGTTTTCCAAGAGGGGGAAAATCTGTGTATTCCTGTATAAAAGTATCAAGAAGTTCTTGCCATCTACATCGAGCGGTCGCGACTGAAATTGTTGGAAACTTAACAAAATATTTTACTTTACTATTAGTTCTTACCATCAAGGTTCAATAATTTGGAAATGACAACCCATGATTTCCGTTTTTTCCTTTTGTTATGATATAAGTCATGATTTTCATCATACAAGTGAGGAAGTTGTTTTATAACTTTGACTAATTCGTCGTCCACTTCGCAATTTTCATTTTTTCCGTCATACAGTATTGTTATACTAATCACATCACTATCTTTTTCCGAGAGATGCAATGAAACTTCCCTTACTCTTGATTGCAGATCCTAGAAAATTATTAATACAGAACTGATTTTCTCTGGGTTGAGAAGCGGCTCACCATTATGAAAGTTCAAAATACCGCTCGTACTTACAAATCGGTGTTCACTATGATGAATCTAATACAGAACTAAATAGCACTTGAAAATTTTAAACGTTCGCAGTTAGACAAAGAAAATACAACCAGAACTCCGATTGCGTGTGATTGGTCAGAATTTTCATTTGGGTTTGCAGTACGCCAATAGCTTACATTCTCGCCACTAGCTACAAGAAGGAGGGGGGTAGTTGGAATAAGGAAGGGAAGTTAGCGCTTTTCATAATTTTGGTACCTGCAACCTGCAATTGTTTTCGAAAACGTACAAGTTCCTCTGAATTTGTTTCTGTTGAGATCTGTCTTTTCATAAACGACATCATACTCTTAAAAAAAAAAATGGTAGGAATTTTTAAGGGTTCAGATTTTTGGAAAACAAATGACAATCATATAATATTTTGCAATTTAATTTTGGATCTGCAAAACTGAATGCTTTGAAATCTTGCAGATGTTTTAAAGTGGTCATAATCAAAAATATCTGTTTATTCCTCCCAAAAAATTGATGACGTCGTCTCAAAATTTTGCCAGATAAATTCCACCCAAAATATGCAGAAAATTTTGAGAATATGATATTGTTATTTTTAGTATTATACTGCACCAATCCAAGTTGATATACGTGTTCTTGCAAAAATGTTGATGACGTCATCGCAAAATTATGTAAAAAAAAAACTCAATTCGAAAATGCTGGGTATGTTTCATTGTGCTTCAGGAGCGAGGGAAGTTCTGTCGAAACAGCTTTCGAGCAATTTTTTTACTAATTTTGACCATTTCTTTTAATAGAATTTATTCATGCCCTTAGTTATATGTCTGTCACAGCGATAATAATTTTATTATCTTATTGTGATCTGTTGCTACCTAAATTTAAAAACTGTCAAATTTGCCAAATTTTAGAATGTTATAATTTTTTTTGTCTATGATGGCTTGCCAACGTTGTTAACAAACAAAGCCAATGGTATCAGTTCATAGAATTTTGTGAAGCAAAGAATTACAAAATTGGCACCGCTTCAACCATTCCAGAACGGGCAATCATTTTGAAAGATTATGCTGTGAATATGAGGCGTAAAGATGGAATGTGGAATGCTGCGGCAAAAATTTTGCAAGAGAATGTTTTTAACGATTACAAAATAAAATTCAACCCATTTGAAGATATTGAATTTAATGGAATCAAGAAAAGCTAGAGATTACAAACGAAGAGAACTCCAACGTATGCCTAAGAAACGTAAAATTAGCTCATCAGCTTTTACAGTTTTATTCAAAAAATATTGGGCAGTTTGTTGTCATTTACTAATGTAAAATGTGCTTTATTAGATAACCTAATTTACTGACAGTAGTGTCATATCTGTGGGATATTAATAATATCAAAGGCATCGTTTGACAAAATAGAGTTTTGAAAAGTGCTAACATTTGTCAAAATGACAGTAAAGCTTGAATCATATATGATTTGACATAAACGATATAATGTCAGTGCCTAATATTTTTTTAATAAAACTACATTAGATGAAAATAAAAAAGACAAAAAGAGTTACGTAATGAAAAATAGTGTATTAATGACGTCCATTAATGCATCCTTTTTTAGACGAAATCATTCATTAATATTGACATTAATCAACGAAAAAGTTCTTATTGAGTTATACTGTTGACAACATACAGTTTCCGACAAAAAATTTCAAACATCACTTTTCTGTCATGTCAAAAATTTTAATGTAGTCTATGCCTTTACGTCATTATTTCGGAGAGCTGGAATGTCAAACTTTCAAAATACCTAAACATCTAAAGGTTGCTTTACACTATCTGACGACTGAATGACATTGACGTCTGAAATTTTTTGGCGGCAACTGTATATAATCATAACTAGTTTAAAAAATTAAACATGTAATGAAAAATGCTACTTCACGATTAGAAACTAAAATCAATAAGAAATAATTATTTTAAAATTTACACTTACTGGAAAATAATTATTTTGTATTCAAAGCAGGTGTAAAGGGATAGGGCGGTTTCACGTTATCGCAGGTAGGTATTTGGCCTAAGCTACTTACTCTAGAAATTTACTTAAACCCGACAGGTTTCTTTGTCATTATAATTTATAGCTTTCGTGAAAAGTTTCTTTAATCTCGTGTGGCTACTATACCTGTCTCCAACTGTATTTTAATATAGTAGCTGTCACAATAAGCTGAACGCCACAAGCGCTCAATAAACCCCTAAACACAGCTTATAGATGCCATAAACTTGGGCCGAATGCCGCGTACCATGCAGTTAGTACTTAAATAAGAGATATGCTGTGCCCAAACAGTGCAGAGTAATAAAAATTACAACCATCCTAATCACTTCAATGAGTGGCAGCACGACCGCGCCCCAGGCAGCATTCGGTCTAATTTGACGGCCACTTTACCCTTATTCATTTTGGGTTAGGAAGTGTTGGATGGAATTGTTGTGGGTCAACATGTTACATATTTTACCAATAATTGAAGCCGATTCTTTTGTGCCTAATATCATTCCACTCTAGCTACAAGTAAAATTTCGATGCCAACTGCAACAACTTTTAAACAAAAATTTGCAGTGGTGGCAGATTTCAAAATATCTTATTGGCTACGTGTAAATGTATCATAAATATTACACCACCGATAATATAATTACCTGCGGACACAAATCTTTTAATCTTTAATAGGAAGGATGTTCCTAAATACTTAGAAGGAAGCTACAAGATAATGTAAACTTAAAAGTCTGTCTTTAATTGCCTCGTACTTGGCGTTGTGACTTACAGATTAAATTTAGAAAACCTTAGAGGGTGGATACTTTCATAAAATTTTATTGTCGGATTATGAGAGGTTTAAAAGGACAGGTTCATAGATTTGAGTGGACCAGAAAAATGGCTATAGTTTGTTTCACCACAAATTTTCAATGTTCTGTCCCTGTTTACTCGATTATTCATTAAGATATTTTATTTCTGTAAAGCGCAATGGATTTTTTAATACAATTTCTACTAATGTACCTTTATGAAAATTTAAAATTGATCCATAAATAAAATAGCGAAAACCAGATAATCTTATAGTCATCACAATTTTAACGCGTTGTGTTTTTTAATTCGATTTTATATTTCGTTTTCTCGATTTTACGATTTTTCAATTTTTCGTTCTTTCAACTTTTCACGATCTTGATTTCCAATTTTTAGATCTTTCAGGTTTGTCGGTTTTGCAATTTTTCCATTTTTTTTATTCGAAAATTTGAAAAATCTGAAAAACGGAATTTTCGAAAACTAAAAATCGGACAAAATTGAAAAATCAAGGAACTGAAAAAACGAGAAATTGCAAAATCGATGCAGCGAAAAATCAAAAATTTTTTATTGGAGAACTGAAGAAACGAAAAATGAGAACATTGAAAACTAAATTCGAGAAACTTAAAAATTGAAAAAATCAATGAATCGAAAAATTGGAGACGAAAAAACAAATCGAATCTATAAATTGGAAAACCGAAAAATTGGAAAACCAAAAAATTGTAAAATCGAAAAGTTACAAAATCGTCAGAATTGTGACATTGAAAGATTAAAAATTGTAAAACTAAAAATTGAAAAATCGAATAAAAGAAAAAGTTTTAAAATCCAATAATAATTGATAACCCAGAAATTTTAAAAATTATAAATATTAATCCTATTATATACATATTTAAAATGAAAACTGTCCGTGTTTTACTCATTCCTTCTTCACCTCAATTCATAATTTTCCAATTTGCTCATTTCATTCTTTCCCTATTTCCTATATTTTTCTGTTTTCTCTCTTCCTCGTTTCTTGTTTGTCTGTTTCCCAGTATCTTTAATTCTCGCTATCTCTTTTTCTTTAATTCCCTAATTCTCTCATTGTTTCGTTCCCTTATTTCTTTCCTTCTATCCCTATTTTCCTGTGTCCATTTATTTCCATATTTCGGGGTTTCCTATTTTCTGTTTCCTTATTTCCTTATAATCCGTTTTCCTTCCTTCCTTATATCGATTTTTCCATCTTGCGGTCTATACCTATTTCCATTTTCCTCTCTCCCTCTTTTCACTGCACCCGCTCCTCCCATGTCCCATTTTCCCTTTTTCCTCTTTTTAAATTTTAAAAACTATTATGAATTTTTACTTGTGATTTATCATTGCATTCATATTTTTTCGATTTGCTTATACAGGTGGCTCAAAAAAATTAATGAACATAAAAAATTTATTTTATTGGTTAAATCAGGAACGGCTCACTCCATTTTTCCAGAAAATTTTGAAAATCTGTTATTTTTAGTATTACACCGCACCAATCCAAGTTGATATACGTGTCCTTGCAAAAAATGTTGATGACGTCATCGCAAAATTGTATAAAGAACAAATCCAACTCGAAAATGCTGGATATGTTTCATTGTACTTCAAGAGCGAGGGATGTTCAGTCAAAACAACTTTCGAGCAATTTTTTTACTAATTTTGAAATTGATAAGAAAAAAAAATACGGGGTATATCTTTTTAACCACAAAATGTTCCGATTTTCTGTAGGAATTAATTTAAATTATTTGAATAATAATAATAACAAACATAAACAATATTAGCACGTGTGGAATTAATAAAATTTGTTATGACAGTGTTGTATTTATTAGGGTTCTATTTATTTGGTCAGTATTTATATGAATAAAATGCAAGTATTTTTAATAAAAATGGTCAGTATTTTGTGTATATTACGAGCAGTATAATATACATCATTATCAGTATAATATTGATTTGAGTAAAATAATAATTCATGTATGCTCAGTAATTTTATATCCTTTTATCAGTAAAAACTTTAGATACTGTTAGTAAAAAATAATTGAACGTCTTTAAAATATAATTTTATTTATTATATTAAATAAACAACAAATAAATGGTAGTAAATAAATTTTTATAGGAACATACTTTAAATGCAATTTAACGAAAAATATCATTGTCTTACAAATAAACGAAAAACTCTGTATCAATAAAGCTTAACTGTAATAAATTCTTGTAAGAACATAACAAAAAATATAGGAATAATTGTCTTAAAAATGAAAAATAAACAATAAACTCTAAAATACAAGCAAATGTAATAAAATAAGACATACAGTCAATCAATTAAGAGAGCCCGTGTTGCCAATTTGGGTCTCCCTCTTGACCGTTTTTTACCTATAGGTACTTGTTTGGCACTGGGAGGAGGTGCGACATATTTTAACCTAATGGATAATCCTATTATATGTTTACAAATATATTCTTTAAAAAAACTGGGACAAGTACATTGTCCATTCATCCAGTTTTCTTTGTTGTCTGGTAAAGTTACAATCCATTAACATTATTAAGAGTATTTTGAGACATCATGTTGACTTCCACGTCACTCTTTTATAGGTTATGTTTCTG